ATTCTTACTCCGTTTGGTGTTCGGCTGAGTTCTTTATCTCTTCATTTGATGTTCTAGGGTTTCAGGATTGTTGATTCTCTGTTTGGCTTAGTTTTTCGTATCTTTGTTGTGGAGGGACGGCGTGGTGCTTCTGCCTAGACCGCCATCTTGCCGGAGTCCTCTGTGTCTATTCTTTTTATAACTCAGAAATGATTAGGTTTAGGACCCACCCTAGTCTAATATGACCTAGTTAACGTAACAAAAAACCTATTTCCAAACAGAATCACATCCACAGGTACAGGGGTTAAGATTTCAGTGTTTGGGGTACATAATTCAATTCACAATAGACTTGCTGTGGGACACTGGGCAGGTCACCTCCCCTCTCTGTGCCTCTCTTCCTGCTTCTGTAAGACTCATGGTTGGTCACTATGATCTGCTCATCTTTTCATGTCCAAGGTTATATGGTGGATATAAAAGAACAGGAAAAGACATGTCCTCGGGGCACTTGGATTGGGGGGTGGGGGTGTTGGACCTACCAAGCTCACGCTTGTAGCACCATCTTCCCACTCAGCACCCATCTCTCTAACCCTGTCTAACCAGGCTCTATGGCTCGTGGGGGATGCCATCCTGGGGGGGTGCAATCCTGGGGGTGCCATCTGGGGGCTGTGGTCCCAGGGGATGGAGGCAGCAGCCCATCCCTTTATCCACTCAGCTGGACTATGTCGTGGACACATACTCTGTGCCTGCCACTGTGCTGTGCCCACAGAGTCTCTCCACCAAGACGACTGGCCCCCATGAGGGCAAAGAGGGCACTGTTGTCCCTCTTCCCCCACACACGGGGATAACCCCCAGTTACTCTCAGGCCGCCGTGTTATGCCCAAGATTGGGCAATGATAAAATCAAATGATATAGACCCTCTCTTCTTCCCCATTTCCCCCTGCCCCCTCACCGCCATTTGAGTGGATTCCTCTCCTCCCTCTCAGGCCCACTTCTCCCTGGAGCTGTGGGGGCAGGTAAGTGCTGAAGAGCCTTGTAGAGCAGGGCCCCACCAACCAGAGGCTTCTCACCCTCCTTCTTCTTTGTGTCCGCAGGAGCCATGAGGTACCACGTCGCCATCAGCTGCCACTTGGTGTGGCTTTTCGTGCTGATCTCTGGGTGCTGGGGTAAGTATGACCTTCCCTGCAAGGGGGACTGGGCTGGAGGGCATGAGCCAACAGCGTGACTTTGTGCTTTGGGATGGCGGGGCGGGAATGGGCTGCTCTGGGACTGTGGAGACCCGGCCTTGCTGTGTAACTGAGCCCCACACTTCCCTCTCTGAGCCTCAGTTGCCTTCTGCAGCACTCACGTGGCTGAAAATACCAGATGTCCCCAGGGCCCAGAATTCATGTGAGGGAATGGGAGGAGCCTTGAGAAATACTTGAGCTTGAAGGGAAGGAGACAACTGTGACGCATTCTCTGGGATGCAGGGCCTGGCCACAGTTTGCATCCATTTCACAGCTATTTTTTGCACACCTACTGTCTGACCAAGGTCCTTGGATGGCGCAAGTGGTTTTCGATAGGTTGTTAACCTAAAGGTTGCCAGTTCGAACCCACCTACTGGTGCCACAAGAGAAAGGCCTGACTATCTGCTTCCATAAGGATTACAGCCAAGAAAACTCTATGGACCAGTTCTACTCTGTAACGCATGGGTTGCCATGAGTTGGAATTGACTGAATGGCAGTGAGTTTGGTTTTGGTTTTTACCGTATGACCCTGTGTGTGCCCACTGTGCTCGACCCTGGGGGTATGGAAGAAATAGCACATTCTCAGGGTGTCCAGAGTCTAGTGGGGGAGAAAAACATGTGGGAATTACTATAATGCAGGGTGGATGGAGTGGTAATAATGACATACACAGCTCTGGAGAAGCCCGTCAGAAGAAAAGGTTAATTGGGTCTGTAGGGGTGGAGGCATCCAGCCAGAGAGGAGGCATCTCACTAGAGCTCTGGTGGCGCAGTGTTTAACCATTCTTTTGCTAACCAAAAGGTCAGCAGTTTAAATCCACCAGCTGCTCCTTGGAAACCCTATGGGGCAGTTCTGCTCTGTTCTATGGGGTTGCTATGAGTTGGAATCCACTCAATGGCAATGTGTTTGGGGGGCATCCTGGAGGAGGGAGCAGCCTGAGGACCAGCCTTCCTTTCCCCTCACCTGCCCAGCAGTATGCTGGCCCTGGTGCCCACGGAGGAGGCCAGGAAAGGCCTGGGTGTTGCTTCCCCCAGAGCCCTGGCGATCAGGTGGTGAGGGTGAGGAGCAAAGCAGCTCTGGGCTGCGCTGAAGGAGGACAGGAAAGCAGCATGCCTGGGAGGGTGTCCCTGGGGGCTGTGGTGTCCCCAGGGAAGAGCCGTGGGCATGGCATTCCTGGTGACAAAGGCAAACATTCCTGTGGGGGGCCCAGCTCCTGCTCTGTCCCTAGGGAGCCAGGGGAGTCTCTAGAGGAAGCTGCAGCCTCGCCCCTGTTCTAGTGCTAGCATCTTGCAGCCTGAGAGTCCTCTGAAGGCCTCCTGTCCTGGCCTCCATGTTTGCAGGGGTCTCTGCTGGAATGCCGCCTGTGATGGGGAGCTCACTCCCTTAGAAGCGGCCTAGGATTACAGCACAGCCTCAAGGACTCGGAGGAGGCAGAGAGGGAAGGAAGCTAAGACTTTCTCTCAACTCCTGACCCATTTTACCCCAGGAGAGACTGCATCCCCAAGAAGCAGCTGGCCCAGAGTAGTACAAAACAGGGCCCAGCTAAGCCTTGATCAGGTCTCTGATCCTCCCTGGGGGCGTTTGTCAGGATAGCAGCCCCTGCCTGCCCATCTCCGGCCCTAGTCAGGGAGGCTTCAGTTGGGGGTAGCTGAGACCAGCTCTGGCCCTCTGGGTCTGCTGGACAGGGAAGTCAGGGTGCCTTGCTCAGCCTCTCCAGGAGCTCTGCGACCCTGGACACTCACACCCTTCCCCACTCCGTTCCACTCACTTTCTTCATCTGTTAACAAAAAGTACAGCATATATGTAAAAATAGACCAGGGACCAAGACCTTGCTGCCTTCCTTGGTGAGATGCAGCAGTTGCCCTGAGCTCTCCAGATGAAGATGGTTTGTGTATCCTACGTAGGCATGTGAGAGGCTGCATAGGGCTAGAACTGCTGGGTTCCACTTCTGTCAAGGGCTTCATTTGGCCAAGTTTCTTAACCTCTCTGCTTCAATTTCCACATCTCTAAAGTGGGAACAATAACAGGACTTTCCTCCTTGGGTTTCCAAAATATCAAATGGCTTAATTCATATAAAGCACTTAGAATAATGCCTGGCACAAATTAGGTGCTACGTAAGTGGGTAGCTCTTTTATTATCGGCAGTAATCCTTCTCTACTACCCATTGCCATCGAGTTGATTCTGACTCATGGCAACCGTATAGGACAGAGTAGAACTGCCCCGTAGGGTTTCCAAGGAACAGCTGGTGGATTCTGAACTGCTGACCTTTTGGTTAGCAGCCAAGCTCTTAACCACTGTGCCACCAGGGCTCCAGTCTTTCTCTAGGGGGAGCAAAATGGGGCATAGAAAACAGATAGCTTAAGTGAGTTGCCTGAGCAACTTCTGGGCAGAAGGAAGGTGATCAGCCTGCCCCTGGGCTGGCCTGCTTTGCACATATATACCAGGATCCTTTTCTTTCTCGTTGCTGGCACAGCCCTCTCTTGCTGGTCCCTGTCTGAGGTGGCAGTGTTGTTCCTTTAGCACGATGGGGCAGTGGCTGACTTTAGGGATTGGACGGAAGGTGGTTTACTGCACCATCTTCCCACCCTGCCTTCCCAACACCTGCCCCTGACCCCCAGCCTGTCACTTGTCCCCCAGACCGGACCACACTGCCCCTACCCATTTCATTTCCATCTGGCCCCATGGCCCCAGCATCTCTCTTCTCCCTCACCCAGTAGTCAGGGATGGATCAGGCTCTGGACAAACCCTCTGAGATGTCAAACCGCTTGTCAGCCTGTCGTCTCTGCCGAAGCCTCCTGCCCCTCTCCCTCCATCCCTCCATCTCTCTGGCCTCAGTGTGCTCCTGGGCACTTGTCATTCTTTGTCTCTGGGTATATTGGGGAGGCAGGAGGCGAAGGTCTGCCCTTCTGCATCCTTATCTGACCCAGCCAGGCCTGGGCTTACATGAAGCATCCTGCTGGGCCAGGTGAGATCCTGCTGGGTTGCACAGGTAGTCCCTAGGTGCTGGGCATGAGTTGTGTGGTGGGCTTCCCTGGCTTCCCCACCTGACACCAGCATGCCAGGCTCTTGTCAGCTGGAGCTCCTGTGGGCCATGCTGCACCCCCTTAACAGGACAGTGGTGCACAGAACCCCATTAGCAGGGAGGCAGAGAGGGAGGGTAGAGCTTTTGTCCCCATTCCAAGGCTGGGACATGGGGGGCCAGAGGGCTAGAGGGCTGTGCCCAAGTCCACATCACACAGCCAGCAAGTGGCAGAGCGTGCAAGGCCCTGACTCCTGGAAGGCTACTCTGGACTCCTGGTCCAGTGCCCCTTCCTTGTCACGGAGCAAGAGTCTGAGAGTCCTGCCTGATGCGGAGCTCAGTGTGAGCGACTTCTCCCAAATATTCTTGTTCCCTTCAGCCTCTCTTCATTGCTTTGATGGCTGCGGAGGTAGGTCTGGACTTGAATTCAGGCTGATCTGGGTTTGAATCCAGACTCTGCCCCTTGCCAACTTTCTTTAAGCCCCTGGAGGAATCCCTTTGTTCTACGATTCTGGATAAAATTCATACTTCCTGGTCTGGCATTCAAGACCCCCCACAATCTGGCAAGAACCCTTCCCACACAACCACACCTCGTGTCTGGTCATTCCCAGAACAGGGCCTGTGGACACTTCCCACCCCTGTGGCCTTGCCCAGGCTTTGTGCCCTTCCTGGCAGGCTTTTCCTTCCATGCACCATGTGGAAATCCTTGTCATCCAGTAGCTGCAACTCAAATGCTGCGTGCTCTGGGAACCTCCCCCAGCCCTCTCCCCTCAGGCCTCTATGGTTAAAAGCTGGATTCCTACTGTTATTAGCTGCTGTCGAGTTGGCCCCTGACTCATGGCGACCCCATACACTACGGGATTGTATGGTTGTGATCCGTAGGGTTTTCATTGATGGGTGGGGGCTGCATTTGAGGTGCATTGGCTGGCAATCGAACCTGGGTCTCCAGAATTCTACCACTGAACCACTCCTGCTCCCATCCTCATTCCTATTACGGCATTTGAAATACTTAAAGTCATGCTTGGTAAAGTAGAGGGTCCGCGAAGAAGAGGAAGACCCTCAACGAAATGGATTGACACAGTGGCTGCAACAATGGGCTCAAACATAGCAATAATTGTGAGGATGGCGCAGGACCGGGCAGTGTTTTGTTCTGTTGTACACAGGGTCGCTATGAGTTGGAACCGACTCAACAGCATCTAACAACAACAAAGTCTAGGGGATGTTATATCTCCCTTTGTGGTGTCAGGTAGGGAAGTTCAAAGTGAGAGTTGGCTAGGAGGGAGGGCAGGGAGAAGGGTTCAGGGCAGAGGCTGTAGTACTGCATACCGTGGGGGAGAGGGTGGATGTGTGAGGCAGGGGTTGCCGAGCTTCTCCTTACCAAAAAGTACCCATGCCCTCCTTTCTACATTCACTCACGTTCCTGCTTTGCCTCAAAGTTCCAGAGACAGTGGTTTTGCCTTCATGCTTGAAAAGTGGTTTTTAAGAGAATAAGTTACCTATCCTTCCCCTCTCCCGCCGCTGCCTCCCCCCAGCACCCTCCCGGTCCCCAGATGCCCACGCTGGCAGCTCAAGGCCACCGGGCCTCTGAGGGTGGCAGGCCTGTTCTGAGAGCAGGGAGCCTGCTTGGTATGTGGCGGGTGACACGTCCCTGAGTCTCTGCCCAGCTACTCGTGCAGAGCGCTCAGTGCTGATTATCGGCAGGTCCTGTAAAATAAAATTTAAAAATGAATGATGCTGCTGCAGGCAGTTTTTTTTTTCTCCTTGTTGGTTTCCCTCCCCCATCAGCCCAAGCCTGCTTTCTGAATTCTCTCTGGGCACCCCGGAGCCTTCTGCCTTGGCTTAGCCACTTCCTGCTCTCCTGAATCCGGAGCCCAAGGCCCCCAGCAGAGACCAAAAGTGTTCCCCTCTGGCTGCGCAGGTGGCA